TTTTAACTTGTTTATGGTTCCTACAGCCCATACAATCTCCGCAATGAAAAAATCCTTTTTTGGTATCTTTATATAGTTCTAGAAAACTAGAAGACAGAGAAAGAAGGGGAAAAGATACCACTTATTTTTAATTATAGTAAAGACCAAAGACAATTAAAACGAATCCTTAATAAAAATTGGCATATTCTCCAACAAGATCATGAAATTCTGCCTTTTTTAGAAGATAAACCTAAAGTTATATTTAGGGGAGCTAAAAGTATGAAAAATATACTCACTAAAAGCTATATAGATATACCAAAGAGTAATTTTTTAGAACTATATAAAGATACCAAAAAATGATTTTTTCATTGCGGAGATTGTATGGGCTGTAGGAACCATAAACAAGTTAAAAAGGTAGTCAGTTTTAAATCGAGAGCAGGCAATCAGATATACAGGATAGATTCATTTATTTCCTGTCACTCAAAGAATGTGGTTTATATGCTCACGTGTCCTTGTGGGCTACAATATGTGGGTAAAACATCGAGATGCCTAAAAACAAGGATACGTGAGCATATTTATAATATTAGGAGGGGTTTTCTGAATCATCATGTATCTCTACATTTTCTAAAATGCCATGGAGGGGATCCCTCTGGACTCCAGTTTTTTGGGATACAAGCAATGGAAGCCCACTGGAGAGGGGGAGACCTACAATCGGCCTTGAGCCGTTGTGAAATGAAATGGATATTTAATTTGGATACCTTGTCCCCTGGGGGCCTTAATGTTGACTTTGAAATGTCAGCATTAATTTAATTTTAATTTCAATTAGCCACATGGCTTCTAGATATATATAAAAATATTTTTTTTAAAATGTTTTATATAAAATACAATCAATTTTCTAATTTTAGATTTTCATTTTGATACTTTTCATATATATTATTATATTTTTACATATTTTTTATATATTAAATGAAATTATTTATATTGTGTTATTATTATTTTTTGCAGGATCCCTTCTCTCTATTTTTCCCTTTTAATATAGAGAATTATACTGTATGCTATATCTTTACAAGAAGTAACGCTCCTCAATATAAATGAAATTTATTACAATTACCCTCCTCATATTATAAAGATGTTGCAATTGTAATTGGACTCTTATGTATCTATACTTGATTTTTATATATATGGTATGTGCAAAAATATTGTAAGAAAAGATCTATTTTAAGATATAAACTAAAATCTCCAGTTGTTTCTGTATGTAAAGGCTCTTTGCCCACTTCAAATATGGCGCTGGACGCCAGGACTGTTGATATATGTGAAGGGAATGAAAGACCGAAAATCCGGAAATGACATCATGAACACGTGATCGGACGGAAGGTCACGTGATCGGACGGGAGGTCACGTGACGCGGAAACACGGCGAAACCGGAAGTAAGGATGGACGCCGGCAAAACGGCGCCAAATTTGAAGAGGAGAATACCATTTAAAAGGAAGAAGACCAACACTCACCACACACTTTGATAAAGACCTGGAGGTCGAAACGCGTTAGTGCTGTGTATTTCGTTATGTTATTTTAGCTTTTTCTGTATCCGTTATTTTAACCAGTAAAGTCACTTTTTGATTATTGACACTGGATGTCCTGGAAGTTATTAAAGGGCGGAGAAAAGAAGCAGAGCTATTTGGAAAGCTGAAAATCGAAAGCCAGAATAAGCTTATTATTCACCTGCCATCTAAGCTAGAGCCAGCTTTATGTGGCTCTACACACTGTGAGTGACCCAATACCTGAGACCAATTAATGTTCTGTATATAACAGTGTTACACTATATATGTGTTTTTCTATTATAGGTCTAACAGGAAGTGTTCTACTTATATTAAGTATAATATATCTTCTTATTGCTCTATGTGCACCCCCCTTATATTCTTTTTTCTATCACTTTGTATTTGAGTGCCATTTAGTGATTTTGGGCACTGGGGGTAGTTGCACATTCTCTGGCTCTATAGCGCCAATCCACCATTTCTTGTATTGTTTTTATATATTATTTAGTATACAAGCGCTACATTCTGTAAGGAAATTCTTTTCCTTTCTACTGTTTAAATTTATTGGTGACATTGAAGGAGTCATTAGAATGTTTAGCAGCTAATTATTACTAGATATATATCTTTCTATTGGAAATAATAAGCGCTGAGTCCTTAACTTTTCTTTTCTTGTCCTTATATGGCTAGAGTTACGCTCTGACGTCATTATGGGCACTTCTATATAGTAACTGAACAAAGAGACACAAGGTCTCTTGGCTCTTGGCTCTCTGGCTCTCTCTCGATGTAAAGATGTAAGGATGTAACTCTCCCATTAGAAGTCCAGCAATTACCATCTGCTGTTGAACATTCATTATCCTGTAATATCCTTTGTTGTTTTATTATGTATCAGTAACTAAAAATAAACCTAAAAAAACCATGTCAGATTGCGTATTAGTACTTTTCATTAATATAGACATATATTAATGTGGCGAACAAATTTGGCCCAAGACTATATATACAAAAGACATATTTATCAATCAATTGAAGAGAAGAAGAAATTAAGAAGATATTAACGTTGACGATCGATTCCAACCAGATTTTACATTGGCCAGCCAGGCAGTCTTCTATTCAAGTTTAAATAAATAGACTTGAAGAGAAAAAAGGAATCTAGACTGTCACAGAAGAACTGTGGTTTGTAAGAAAAAGAAAGTTTTCTAATCACAAAGACTGTACAAGACTATTTTCTACAACTGAGACAAAAAGCACAAGATACAACGTGAATTCTAGAAGCAAGCACGTGGCAGAGATTGGCAAGCATCCAGAATCAAGCCCAGAACTGCGCAGCTGTGTGGATGAAGCAACGAATTAGACAGAAATAACTGATCTGGTGAGTAACATGGAATTCATAAATGATATTGCAGTGAAAAGTAAATTGCAGTTTGCATTTAATAGCTATTCAGATGCTGTATTGTGGCAATCTTTATACACACAATGTGAAATTGCCAATAGTGAAAGTGACAAGAAATTGTTTGTTAATAAGAAAAAAACAAAAGATCATAAATGTTATGAAACTATTCTGTACTTACAATGCATTGATTTGTAAACGAAATGCAGGTCAAGACAATTTAGAATCAGCAGATAAAGAAGTAGATTTGAATGGGTTTACAGATGACAAATCAGATTTAAATGAAACGTGTAACAATGTAACAGAGAGTACATGCTGTAACTGTGAGAGATTGTCAGAAACAGTCTGTGAACTAGAGGATAGAGTTGAATTAAGAAATGATCTTATTTGCCAGCTTAGAAATGAAGTAAAACAAGTGATGTATGAATGGACAGGTTAGTGACATTGTGTTATGGTTTTAAAACAAACCATAAACAGAGGGAATGTAGAATATTGCATATTCTATGTTTCTATTGATTATATATGGATGGGTGGATTGACATAAGTAACAGATGGTATAAGTCACAAGGCTTTCTTTGTCTGAGAGCTCTGGCATGTAAGTTGGGGGTCTTGTCCTTATATGGCTAGAGTTACACTCTGACGTCATTATGGGCACTTCTATATAGTAACTGAACAAAGAGACACAATGTCTCTTGGCTCTTGGCTCTTAGCTCTCTGGCTCTCTCTCGATGTAAGGATGTAACTCTCCCATCAGAAGTCCAGAAATTACCATCTGCTGTTGAACATTCATTATCCTGTAATATCCTTTGTTGTTTTATTTTATATCAGTAACTAAGAATAAACCTGAAGAAACCGTAAGTCAGATTGCGTATTAGTACTTTTCATTAATATAGACATATATTAATGTGGCGAGCAAATTTGGCCCAAGACTATATATACAAAAGACGTATATATCAATCAACTGAAGAGAAGAAGAAATTAAGAAGATTTTACAATAACGTTGATGTTCCAACCAGATTTTACAGAAGGGTATAAATAAATTTAGAACAAAAAATGCAGAGAAGGACTTTTATATAAAAGATTTTATTACATATCTTAGCAAAAACTTTATTTATCTTTTAATTTGTCCTTGCAGTTTGCAGTACGTAAGACTTACTATTCCACCTTTGCATAAGAGAATTTATGAGCATATTAACAATATCCGAAAAGGCTACGAGAAACATAGCGTTTCAGGGCATTTAAAAAAATATCATAACCAGGACCCTAACGGTCTGTTTTCTTTAAGGGATTAAAATAGTTAATAAATCATGGCGAGGTGGCAATCATATTAATAATATAGGAAAAGAGGAAATGAAATGGGTGTATAAATTAGATACTTTGAGCCTAAAGGTTTGAATATAGAATTTGATCTTTTTAACTTCTTATAACTTTTTTATAATTTTTTATAATTAGTTTTCATGTCTGTTTTATAAGAAAAAAAAATTGTGGTTTTTAAGTTTCAATTCATTTTTAAAAATTTTTCTTTGCTTTCTTATTCCCTTCTGTAAG